CCCCCCCCCCCCCCGTCAGTGCCGATAATCAATACTTTTAATTAGCGCATTTTTATGAATTCGGCTATAGTTTAATTTTAATTGAATGTTAAATCGATGCCTCGACGCTTCCACGCAATAATTCGATTCCGTGCTTGAACTTTGATCGATATTACTTTTTTCGGAATCGATCGGTCTCATCGATCGGCGTGCTGAAAAAGAATTGCTAAGGAATCGATCGACGGAGGTGGAATCGTAAGGGATGCTTAAAAATATTAAAACTATTCGCGTTTGCATATTTTTGGCAACTCCCGGAGGACGTCTGGCTATTTCACCCTGGCAGATATGGTAACCGTGGTAGCAGTGGTACTGCTGCTGCCCTGCTGGATGAGACGACGGGAGGGGAGGGGTCGGGGTGTGACTGTTTTTAAGCCTTTAATCTTTTGAGACAAAGGCGAGGAAAAATGTTACTCGGCGCGGCTTTCCGTTTCCTGTGGCGCCGTGCCACCCCGTGAATTAGTGGAAAGAGATAACAAAGAAAGAATTAAGACTTAGCCAACTGAGGGACTAATGTATGCCAGGGCGAGGGGAGGATTTTTTTAATCGGTAACTTAGCATCCCCTTCGCTAATGGCCTCTTGCAATTCCTCGGAGATTTCAACCGAGCCGCAGCCGCTCGGCACACACACACGCACACGCACACACTGAAAAAAAGCCGCACTAACAAGCATTCGATTTCCCTCGGTCCTTTTTTTTCCAACTCCTCCTTACTGCACGTCAATGACTTTTATCTTCGTCATCCCTTAGTCCTCCTGTATTCTCTTCCGCACGCTTAGCGGCTCTCCCCTCCACTTATCTCAGCGGAGCGTTAATTAACCCACAGTGGCAAATAAATTTCGGTTAGAACGTGAGAAGCAACAAATCTGACTCAGGTGGTGTCAACTGCGGCAAATGTGAGCCCCTCTTACTTGAGTTACTTCGGGGGGTGCTTTCCGCCCAGTGAGGGACGCGGCCATCTTTCGCCAGGGGATAGAAGGGAGCAGTACAAAGCTGAAATGAGAGTGAGAGAAGGAAGCAGGGGTGTCGTCCTATCTTTATCTCATCCCCCCCC